AATATCTTAAAAACTATTAGATCTCTAAATCAATTGCAAATGAGTTCTACTAACCCACCCTCAAAGGAATAAGTCGACTTACCAGTCACTCTGTATATGTATTGTATAATAAAACGCCACTACAATAAAAATGCAGATTTTGACTATAGATTGTATATAATACACAAGCAAAAATTATCAAAAAGGAATATAACTTGGGAAATCTATACACAACCATTAAACTTCAGATGAATACCTTTTCACCTACAATATAGTGACGTTGTGTATTCATTTCTTGTAAAGTATAACGTAATTAAAACCTTGCATGCAGTAAAATCAGAATTATTAAACTTACGTTCTAATATTGAAATTAAGGACTCCAATTCCCAACTTGCTAATATTAGTTAGCTCTTCCATCGTAGACTCATTAACTTCTATTTCACAGTACATAATTTTAATATACTTCTTTTTCAAGTGTAACTTTACAAATATAAATTATTTCATAATAATCAACATCTATGAACAAAGTACAGTACACACAATTCGACCCGTACCCGTAGTAAGGTATGTCGTCTTTGTTTGGCAACGGCATAGCTTTCTACCTCTCACCACTGCGCGTTTCACTTGTTCCATTATTATTTTAGAACACTTCACATTGAGATTAGTAAAAATTCAATCAAGGATAACAATTATTGGATTAATAGTATGTATAATTCATCCAGCAAAGTTGTTAGTAGTTTTATTCCAAGAGTAGTATTCTTATGTCAAGAAAAACATTAAAATAAGAATTTACTTCAAGATGTCCTTATACTTACTCTCACGGTTAACAGTACTTGAAAGTAGTGTACTATAAGAGTATATTTAATACATACTTATACTTCGAAGGAATCAAACTTATATTGACTTAAAGAATTGTGCTAATGAAACTCAAAAATATATCTGTTCTTGGTTCACAATTGCTATATTATTGAAACAATAATAATTTATTATGCCAAGTAATATTTTTCTAGTGACAAGTATAAAAATTCAAGAATAATCGATTATTTTGATATAGAATAGTTTTCTTTCTGTGTACGCACTTTTACAATTCTTATTGATTTAAAAGCTTAAATTATTTACCACCTAACGTTGCACCAGTTACGGTTGTCAAATCAGTGTTAAATCTGGCTCGTAAATTGACGAAAAAGAAAAATGTGTTTCTTTACAATTAAGGAACCTTTTACGTATATCAGAAAATAAATAACTTTAATCAGCAAGGTAAAGCGTAAATAACAAAATATCGAAAAACAAGAAATTGGTTTCAAATGTTACTGAAATATTTTTTGAACTGGTTTGCTTGAATTGTCCGTTTAGTTAATATGTGACCAAAGATTTAACACCATTTCACAGTTTTTTTGAACAATAATTGTCAAAGGTAATTTTTTTATATCTGTTATTTCAGTGAGCGACACTTGTTACAAAAAGGAAAAAATAGATTTAGCTGGTCCAAAATTAGAACAGGAGGTTACCAAATATTTTGCACCATGTACATTTTTAAGGAACATTATTGCTGATGAGTTCAATCAAATAAAAAGGAGCCTTAGAGTCGTGGACAAATTATGGATGTAATGTTATTTTTACAACGGGTGAGTAAATTTGAAAAAGGGTCTACATATTTTTCTTAACTTTAATTAAAGTTTCATGTAAATATTATTTGTAATTAGAGATAATGTAATGTAATTGATACATTAAAACAAAAGGAAAATAGGTAAACGAACAGTATGGTTGTATTTATAATTTTTATATTTGAATTCATTTTTACATTAGAAAGGTGTTAAATAAACCAAATATAACTTAAAATATATGAGTATGTCATGTATCGACATTAAAAAGTGTAACATCGCAAAAATTGTTTCTCAGAGAATTAAATGTATTTTGCTATATTTTGCTAATTATTTTTTTTTTTTTGTTTTACCCAACGGTGGACGGCTCCCGTGGCGTTTTAACCTCATGGGAGGAGCGCCAGCGTATTACCTACAGCCACTTCCCGCATCGCTTAGGGTTTGTGGCTGTAGATTCCAAATTCGTGTACCCTAAGCAGACGGAGAGAGTTTAAAATAACCGCCTTCTGCATTTTAACCTTCCGGCCACTCAACTGATTTTAGCAGGCCAGTATTGTCTTCAGCTGACAGCTCCGAGACCAGCGTCGGCTTTAATCCTTCAAGTACACTGATTATTAGGACGACCATTTTGACCGAGTAGCATGGGTACAGCACTTGAGACTTGTACCGGGGATCGCTATATTTGGTACATTTTCTTACTTCAAGGTGATGATTTTCTCGGCAGGGGCTGAGAACTCGATGACATACATCACTTTGAGTTGATAGTCAAGGAGGACTATATTAAGCTTGTTGGCTTGAATTAGTCTGCGCGTCAGGTATGAGTAGTTCCAGTAAATCCGACACTTCTCAATATCTCAGAGACGTAAGGCAGCACTGATATCTGGTCTACCTCATACGAATGCCTTAGGTGATAATACAGCATTCGTAATGCCGCGTCATGTCGGTGGATGTAAGCCAAAATCGCATATATTGGACATGTGAAAGTAAGTGCATTTGCTATTTCTGCGCCTGACGGCAGGTGTTGCAATTGATATTAGAAACCTCTACACGCCATATTTGCTATGGTAGACCAAAGTGTTACTAACACCATCCTTGCACGCCACAGTGAATTCTTTAGTCTCCGACTTAAGCCCGGATACCATAGAAAGGTGAATTTCAGCAAGGTCGATAAATACAGCATGTCCATGTCTTATAGTTTCGCAACTTTTATTTGGGCTCTCAGACGATTCTGCTGAAACCCAATAACTATTCGGCCACTCACCGACCTCTTCGTCTGGTATCGATATGAAACCGAGTTCGTCTGCGGGTCCCTTTGCTGCCTTGAACAATCTTTTTATGATGCCTTTCGAATCATAATAGTGAATCCAAGCTTCTTACATGCCGTACTCAGTGCTACTGTACTATGTATACACTCCAGGCTCAAGAGCCCTCGGCCTCTTCGTTGACGTGGAAGGTAGACATGAGGAACGAACGATCTAGAATAAATACTTCTATGAATATTCATTATCTTGCGGGTATCGCTGTCTGATTGACGCAGCTGATCTACCGTCCATTCACTACTCCAAAGATATTGAGCAGAACCAGAACGGCAAGCATATTAATCGCAGACACTATGTTCTTCCACGAAAGTTTGAAAGCCAAAGTCTCTCAAGGTCAATGTCTGTACTTGCCGCGATGAGAATCCTTTATTTGTTTTAAGTGCCGTTGTTATAGATCTCTCCGGTATCCAGGTGTAGGATGTTTCCGTCTGCAAGCTGTGCTTCTTTAAAGATATCCCCGCATCGTTCTATCTTGAAGTGGACGACTGCACATTTATCCAACCCAAATTCCCTACCAATAGCCCGCGTACGACCACCCGTTCTAAATTTCGCGCTCTCCGGAGGCATAAAGTTTAAGGTCATCCATGTAAATCAGATGGATAGTCTTATGCCTCCTGTCATTGCGGAGCTCCGCAGATAACAGCAGTGAGATGCAGAAAAGGAGAGGGCTTAGAGAACCACACTGGAAAACTCCTCTCCTAAATGTCATCTCCTCTGTCGTAACCCGCTGTACACCAATGTTATGATGAAGCGGATTCTCCAGAGTGGCAGCATCTCGACATTGGAGCAAGTGTAGCAATAGCTCATGAGATGTTATGTCAAATGCTTTACGGTAATCGATTCAGGCCGTTGATAGATTCCGCTTGTATTGCACAGAATCCTGTGTAATGGACTGTTAGCAGGTTGCCCATATAATCTGCCAGGCCTTTTTAGCTCCACGCTGTTAGTATATCTAGTGAAAGATTGGATCAACAGACCTCCGTGTCCTGGCATACAAGATATGAGTAAATATCTTGTAGAAGAAGTTGAGGCAAGTGATCGGCCTATAATTTCTCGGGTCGGAAAGATACCCCCTTTTGGAGATAATCATCCCTCGACAAACCAGGCCGAAATAAGCTGTTCCTCTTTCAACAATTAGTTGAAAACTCGCGCCAGGCGGCGGTGTATGGAAGGAAATTTCTTCCACCACCTGTTGTTGCCGTAATGCCGTAAAGTGATTATTATTATTTACTATATTATTATTATTAATATTTTTAAACCGACACCATACTTTACGATGTTTCAGGTGGAACTGGATTTTCTCCGAGAGATGTTACTCCAGAAGCAACAAGGTCAGTCATACAAAAAGAGGCGCCAGGAATTTCACACGCCATGATATCAAGGAGTTTAGCTGTTACTGAAAATGGCAATGCTGTCCCGAGCCGTATGCGGTTTCCGTTCAAAAACTCTTATAATAAATCTCCCTGGGAGTGCAAAAGGAGCCATCGAATGTTTTGGTTTTATAAAAAGTTCAATTCCTCACGCCGTTGCTTTATTAACAGATAATAGAAAGTTGGTAGCAGACGTTCACAAATCGATTCAGGCAACGCCCTCGATTCAGGCAACGCCCTCGATTCAGGCAACGCCCTCGATTCAGGCAACGCCCTCTATTCAGGCAACGCCCTCTATTCAGGCAACGCCCTGTAGAAGCAGAAGCAAGGTAAACTGGATGTTAAAAATTACTTTATTCTGCCTATTATGATGTAGTGTTTAACACATCTCCATAAAATAAACTATTTAAAACTGAAAGACTACAACAGTTTAATTAAAACAGCAAAAATTCGTTGTACTTTTAAATTGATTGTTATTAATCTATTCATTGTGCAGGGTTTTCAATTTTTAAGCGCGAAACTTCACTCGATCATGCTTATACATCTAGTTATTCTATGCATAAAACTTTCTATGAGCAGGGTGGGGGCAGAGCGGTCCCCGCTTTTAGTGATTATAAAATATATAATTATAATTTTCCTAGTAAAATTCAACAGAAACAGAATTTTAAGTAGAACAAAACCTTGGATATAAAACAAATACAAATGTCATTATTTGTACATCCGATTAGTGTTGCTTAGTGGTCGGGCGGTAAAGATACATGCCTCTCACACTGAAGTCCTGGGTTCGATCCCCAGTGGAGGAGTTAAGTTTTTTTAAACCAAAAATCAATCCTAGCAAACTCGGATATTCTGTGTGGGTTCATTGTTTCTAAATATGTAGCCCTCTTTCACACAAGTTACCTTCACGGATATAGGGGGTTGCATTACATGTGGTGTTTAATCTAAACTGTAAAAAAATGAGTAGCTCGCTTAATTTCAAACACGGAGGTTATAGGTTTTTTCCCAGAGAATCCGAAATTGAAAATAGAGAAATAACTGAACACCAACTAAGGCAGATATATTCAAGAAACTACATTTTGTTTTCAAATAGGGGGCCAATTAAAAGTAATTCAGTATTTTTTACAATAATTTCTTACTTCCGATTTAGATGAAATTCACGTCACACTTATTTATCTCAAAATTAAATAAACATTTTCATATTTTACTAACAAAGGTATAATAAAAATTAAAATTCCAAAGTATTCCAACAGAGAAGTGATATTAATTTACAAATAGTAATAAATACTAAAAGTATTACCTAAATATAAGATACCAAAGTCGTAATCCTCTCATTTTATTTAATTGAATGTTAAATAAAATTGCCACACACACACACACAGTGGTAATTTATAAAATTTATATATCATACAAAGAGTATTGATTAAAGCTTTAATTACGATTGCCCACTAGTAAACGATTTTTACTAAATAAATGAAAATCCTTCATGAGGCCGTCGCACAGTGCTCAAGAACTGGAAAAATGTGCGCAAAATTCCATTTTTCGATATTTTTGTAGACACATCAAATTCAGTTATTATAATTGCTATTGAGGTGTATTATTATACGTATAAGTTTTAGAACACACATTAATTTACTTTAGTCGCAGCGGTAATTTTTCTGCTGCTAAAAAAAACAGCGGTAATAGATATGGAAATTCGACTAAAGGTAATTATTATCTTCGCTTTAAGCTGTAAATTGCATCCTGTAGTTATTTTGTTATACTCCCTTTAGGATTGAAAAAATCTGCTTATTTAAATACCCTTATATTACTTAAATTTTCTAGTAATCTGGTAATACTGTGTGTCTGTAAAGTATGGAATAAATTAATTTATTTTTAAACAAAAAATATTAAGAATAGATTCTCAGGCACGTCAATTTTTAATTTTAATTGCGTACATTATCCTTTGTTTATTTATGACGTCGTCACCGTCTCCGTTATGCCGTCATCGATATTTCTTTTAAATGGAATATCCTGCATATTTCTCCATTTTTGTATTATACTTTAACAGCAGATTCCAAGTATATAGCACACCTAGGATCCAAAATTGATAAGTGATTTTTGCTTGTTTTTTGTTTTATCATTATCGTCTTTGACAGTGATTCATTAATAATAATTTACCCCAGTAGTGGTTTCGCAATAATTGTTGTCGATTTATTTTAATTTATAAAACATGAGTGTATCTGTAAAGCAGATAATTGAAATTCTGACGATGCGATTGGGTATGGTGATAGGATGCGAACTTAACAAGAAGTATGTAATTTATTTAATACTAAATATCCAAAACGACCCATAACTCAATCGACAGTTAGTAAAATTGAAAAACAAATTTAGAGATACCGGTACGGTGGAAGATTTACCCAAAACAGGTCACGCAGTGTTGACGAGGATACAAAATTATATATTTTACAGGCTGTTGAAGATAATCCATACACCAGCGTTCGCCAGGTTAGTCGCAATTATGATGTTACTAAAACATACACTATTAAAATTAGAAAAATTGCATGCTTTTAATAATCAGCTTGTGCAAGAACTAAGTGATGATCCAGATCGGAGGATACAATTTGGTGAAACAATGATGAATATGTGCAATGGTGATCCTCTTCTGATAAAAAATATTTTCTCCGATGAATGCACTTTCAAATTAAATGGTGAAGTGAATCGTCAGAACTGTAGATACTGGGCAAGCGAAAACCCTCGATGGGAAAACCCTCGATGAATGTGGGAGCAGCACACACAGTATTCACAAAAGGTAAATGTATGGGCGGGAATTGTAAGAAATACGAAATTGGACCCTATTTTTTCGATAGAACTGTAAACGGACCGGCATATCTCTAAATTGGGATGAGATAGCCCATTGGCTATCTTATCCCAACGTTATTAAATTTATTCACCAGTAGAATTAATCCTGGAAATGTTGACGAAGGCCTGTGTTATCAACAGGACGATGCGCCTCTCCATTATGCAGCAGACGTTCGAGAGTATCTTAACAAATATTTCTGAACAGGTGTATTGGTAGACGTGGACTCATTAAATGGCCACCAAAGTCACCGGATCTCAATCCAATAGATTATTTTCTGTAGGACCATCTAAAACACTTAGTTAATAAAACCAAACTGGAAAACATTATTGAATTAAATGAGAGATTTAGAACAGAAATAAACAATATTTCTCAGGAACTATAAACAAGGTTCAGCAACACTTTATTCATCGTTTAGGGTACTGTTAGCTACAACAAGGAATACAGTTCGAACATTTACTATAAATTGTTTTTATTATTAACTAACCGTTAGTTCTAGTGACTGTTATTTGTTTAAACAAAACATGAAAAATTAGTATATTTTTATATTCAAAATGACCGTATCTTTCAACTTATCAATTTTAGACCCTAAGTGTGATACATTTTTGGAATCAGCTGTTGAAGCAGAATTCAAAAATGGAGAAATATACAGGATGTTCCATTTAAAGAAAAATATCGATGACATCATAACCAAAAAAAATAAAGGATGAGGTGCGCAATTGAAAATTAAATCAACGTGTCCAAGGATTTTTTCTAAATATTTTTGGTTTAAAAAATAATGAATTAATTCCATACTTTACGGACACATTGTATAATAAGTAGTACACGAGAATAAGTTATTAATCCGATTTAAATGTGTCGTTCACGTTATTTAGGAAATACCGATTCAATGATTGACTGCAACTACTTGCCTCTTGTAAAAATATAGGTGATTGATTATTGTTAATCCTCAGGGATAACGTAGGTAAGTTATTATATAACATAAGGATAAATATGAATATTTTAGTCAGAAGTATTATATATTATATCTTGTTTTTCCATAAAACTGTTTCTGTTATTTTTTATTTATTTTCATCGTAATACAATTTTTTGCACCTCTGTTCTAAGACTTCAAATTTTTCCAATAATTATAATTCTCGCACATTTTTCGATGAATTAGTCGTAATGTGGGGATTTTTTTTCTGTGATATGAAAATCGTGTACTTATTGTACAAGTAATAAACAGTGATCACTCATCGAAAGTTATTTTACTTTTTACGTTTTCACGTTTTTTATTTGACGTGGAAAATGATGTATTTAATCCATCTTTAATATTCTCAGCCTTTTGTTTTATCCGTCTAATTGTTCGTAAACTAACCCCCGTTGCATCCCTCATTTTTGCGTGATACACTGTAGAATTTTATGTTGTACAATGAAATAATTTAAAAATAGAGTTTTTACAGAAACTACTGCCTTCCTATTTGAGGCATCTTGTGTACAACACCCGATAAAATTATAGTAGAATATAATTCCTTGTTATACAGGGTGAGTCAGTTTTTTGTAGACAAACTTTAACAGGAGATAGAACACATGTTTTTAAAAAGAAAAGTTCCTATAAACATATGTCGTAGAACGCTTCGTTTCCGAGATACAGGGTGTTGAATATAATTTTTTTTTCTCGAATTTTCGTTATAACTTATAAACGAATGCTTATATTTTTTCCATGTTTGGGGGATAATGCCTATTAATTAAGGGGCATAAAACAAGCGATAAGAATGTTCAAAAACTTGCACAGTGGCGGGGTGGAACCCATTTTTTAAACAGAACTTCTACACCCATGACTATTTTTTAAAAAAACTGTTATTTTCATTATCTACATACAGTTTAACAAAAATAATGTCCCTCTTCTGTTTCGAAATTCCTGTGCGGTTCCGAGTTATTTTGATTTTTAGTGTTTGATGTGGTACTAAATTAAGTAATATATTTATTATCAATTATCGGCTAAATATTTAATTCTTTCAACGAAACCTACCTAAATATGGTTTGTTGAGGATTCTAAAAAGCCGAAATCTCTTATTCTTTATCTCTTTCCAATGTAGTCAAAATAAATATTTGTTATATCAAGCCATATTTAAATGCAATACATACAAATACATATTTAAAAAATTCGAGAAAAAAAAAATTGTATTCAACACCCTGTATCTCGGAAACGAAGCGTTCTACGACATATGTTTATAGGAACTCTTCTTTTTAAAAACCTGTATTTTATCTCCTGTTAAAGTTTGTCTACAAAAAATCTGACTCACCCTGAATAAATTACTTAATTTAGTACCATATCAAACACTAAAAATCAAAATAACTCGGAAACGCACAGGAATTTCGAAACAGAAGAAGGGACATTATATTTGTTAAACTGTATGTAGATAATGAAAATAACAGTTTTTTTTTTAAATAGTCATTGGTGTAGAAGTTCTGTTTAAGAAAGGAGTTGAGCACCCCCTCCACTCCGCCACTGTGCAAGTTTTTGAACATTCTTATCGCTTGTTTTATGCCCTTTAATTAATTGGTTTTATCCTACAAACATGGAAAAATCTAAGCATTCGTTTATAAGTTATAATGAAAATTCGAGAAAAAAAATTATATTCAACACCCTGTATCTCGGAAACGAAGTATTCTACGACATATGTTTATAGGAACTTTTCTTCTTAAAAACATGTGTTCTATCTCCTTTTAAAGTTTGTCTACAAAAAACTGACTCACCCTGCATATATAATTTAATCATAAAACACTTAAATCGACTGATGTATGTGGAATATAGTAGGGTTTACATTTATATTGGACACCTTGTACAAACATTTGCAATCATTTTTGGTACTAATTGTGTTCTTTTCATATTCAGGGACCAAAATAATACGAACACTACACATTTAAGGTAGAAATTTTCAAGTATTGGAGAGAAATTAATTTTCCGCACGTTTTCCAGTTTTG